ACATCCAACTTGGATGTTACGCCCGCTTCTACTTTTATGGAATCCCTCTTTGACTTTGGCCCTTGGTAAGTTGAACTAAGTTTCAATGTACCTAGGCCCTAGGGTATCATTCTAACTGTATGTGATAGGAACTAGACAAGTTGTCAATCGTTCACTTCTCTTCTCACCGATATCAGTCCATTTCCGACTTTCTCTACTCTACGATGCTTTAGTTTCACTTTAGATTCTGCTGTCATTTCTCTCATAGCACCCCCTGGTCAGATGTAAGGAGCCATTTTCAGAACGGCTTTTTTATTCACTGGGGACTTTGAATGGTTTCACGGCACGGTTTACACAGTTGAACCAACTACATCGCAATGCATTTCTCTCTCTTTTCTATTCCGACTAGGCAGTGATGCTCTGCTAAGTCAACAATCGTTCATGCATTTTTTCTCCCCAGTTAGGAGATATGACGATCTCGCATAAGACCGCCTAGTTTCAAGGTTTTGACCACTGAAACAGTGATCATGGAACTGTTCGCGTTTTTCTTCTTTCTCTACATTTCTTCAGGAGGCCACAAGGCTAAAAGGGGGGGAAGGGATATTATGCCCGTATGCATACTGTGCATGATGATGGTGATGATGATGACAACGAAGATGATTATGAGGAGGAGTACTAGGACGAGGATAGGTATGATAAGGAACAAGAAGGAGAACAATAAGAAGGATACGCCCTGGGCGCTAAATGGCAATAAGCTGACCATCCTATCTGCCTCTTCTTTATACCGATAAATACTCACCTATACACCCTCTATACATTAAGTAGATGATCTCACGCAAATCGATGATTTATTGCACCATCCAGGGTAGCTTGATTATTCACATGTCGCGAGACTGCAGCAAAATGAGCACCTAAGTACCTACCTTAGCATTGCTTAAGTAGTAGTAGTAGTAGTAGTAGTAGTAGTAGTAAACCTACACTTATTTGGGGTTATACGGTACGGATGCGGAGGCGGGAAGCCCGGATGACCTCCGGTATCATGCCGGAGCTTGTCGTCATGTCCAATCAGGGACCGTCTTATTGCACGTTCCGGGCAATTGGCCTGTGCGTCACGTCGTCTAACCAATAACCACACGTTCATTCCAGTCATCGATAAGTACATATGTACATATCTAGGTACTAAGAGTATCTAACCTACTTACATACATATGTAGGGAGTCAAATCCCAGGTTATGTAGTAGGTATGTATGTATACAGGCTGCTACCTTATGTAGGTATATAGGTTATGTACACTACATCTCTTATACATACATAAACCTACCTACACTAAAGTAGCTGACTGTGCAGGTGGCCGATCAGTCAATTTATCCATCTAGCCTTGTTCGTTCATGGATTGATTACTTGGGTACTACATGTTCGAGTTAGGCCCGGTAGAACGACTAACTAGGTTTTTTTCTTCTTTCTCTTTTTTTTTCTTTTTTTTTCTTTTCTTTTCCCACGCGGATGCACTAGACACTTGATTCGGATATGTTACCCTGAGCTTCCCCTCTCCTCGTGAGGGTGGAGAAAACCAGTGCAAGCTCCACCACCGGTGGAAAAAGGGCGTACTGCGTGGAATACGCTCGAATCGTGGGCCCTGTCTCTTTGCACGTGAGAGCTACACTACCTTCCGTGAAAAAGAAAGATGACCTGGTTATACACGATAAATCATCACCGTGATAAGTCTACATAGGCCACTACACTACCTCTGCATGGTTCCCACTTACTGTGTATGGCTAAAGCGCCCTAGCCAAGGTGAGCTTGTGCCCCGGTTGGCTGGTGTCGCCGCCGAGAATGTTCTACACCTAAAACATTGATTTCGTCAAATGCAGAAGTACATTGATAGATATATGCTAGGTAGACAGACAGTAGACATATACATGCACGTATATATTTGTATATTCTAGGCTAGTCCCATGTCTAAGAGACCTTCCTAGGCCTGTTCTCACCTCCTTGATCTTGACCGCCTACAGACTAACTATTCAAGTCGCCCACAACGCTGGAAACGCTCACAAAGCTATGGGGCTTCCAAAGATAGCCATCATGGCATCTCGTTCCAAGGAGCCTGCTGCTGCGACCCAGCAGAGTTCTGATATCATCACGGTTCTAGGACCTGCCGTCGAACTTGTTCTCCGAGGCCGACAGTACTTAGGTGCTACATCCATACTCCTCCTATTCCAGATCCCCTATTACGTACTGGGTTATCTCCTCGCGAGCCAAATCGTCGCAAGTCAACTCATTCTCGCGTCAATACGACTTCTGTCTACAATATCCGCGTCGCTCAAGAGGATAGGATCCGCCGCGTGGAATGCGAAAAGCACAAGACGTTTCAGGAAAAAACTCGAGTTTGAATTCTTCACCCTAATCCTGAGCTCGGGCGGCAATTGCCTATGTCTGATGATGTTCTGGCCTGGCTGGTGGATCCTAGGAATCACTGGGTTGATATTGTGGAAGTGGACTTGCTGGTAGAGGCGTAGAAGGGCAACCCTGTGAGTTCTTCTATCCACCTAAACAGTTTTCACATTCTAACTCTCTGTAGCAGTCCCGACGGAAACCAGGGCAAGTCTGTGGAGTGACCTAATCGCCCATATAGCTAGCATGGCTAGAGCTGAGTCGGTGTATCATCTGTTTGAACTCTTCGACATGGGGTATTTCAAGAGTAAAAGAAGGCATTGCCACCGGTATCGCGTCGGATTTCCTTTTGGTAATCCTTCTCCGGGTCGAAGTCTTGCCACATGCTAGCGGGGTAGATGTGTTTATTCCTCTCGTACCATCTTCGGTCAACCACCTTCGTAAAGGCAGGATCATCAGAGGCGCCTTCTAGCGTGCTTATGTCAGGTTGCGTTTTTACGGATTTCAAGGCAGTAGACGGTGCAGTATCGGGTTCATCGTCCTGGGTGGTAGTTGGCTCTTTCTTTTTCGGAGCATCGGTGCTGTACGCAAAGAGGGGCGTTCCGGTAGGACCAATCGTCCGGTTCATGATGAAGAACAGGAATTCATAATGCTGTACTCTAGTCAGCACTCTATTTCGACCTGGATCTTGTTTTTCTTCTTCTTTCCCATAGAGTTCTACACCACCTATAGTATATGAATACGAATATGTTCTTTTCATTGTCTTGCTGTTGATGTCCGCCGGTGTACGAAAAAGGGTATTCGAGCAAATGAAATACAGAGGAATAACTCACATGTGGTATGATGACATTTCCGCGGACCATCAGCAGATCATCGACGCCGATCCGGGCCCATTCCCTCCGCGCGTTCGACCTCTCACCTACACCGCGGTCTGCGCCTACCTTACGGCTCTTGTCCAGGAAGACCCATATGAAGTCACCCTTCTTGACGCGCACCACGCCACCGGGGATGTTGGACCCGTCGTAGAAAACGAAAGGTATGGCAATTTCGGTCGCCTTAACTGCCTCCTGGCGCGCGAGGAATTCACGCCGCAACACTTCTCTCTCGGCGGCCTCGCGGCGCAGGGCTGACTTGGTCACAGAGCGGGGCACTACCGAGACGGAGGAGTTGGCCTTGAACTTGGCCTTTTTCTCGCCATTAGCTTCCTTGCTCACTATTGACGTCGCGTCTCCGCCGTCCTGGTTCTGATTCGGGTTCTGGTTCTGGTCCTGATCGTCCTCATCGTCTCCAAAAGAAAGCTTGGCCGCACCGGCCTTGCCAGGCTGCTGCTGCTGCTTCTTCTTCTTCTTCTTCCTGGGAGGGGCGGACGAATCGCTGGCGCTCGCGTTCGTGTTCGCGTTGTCGGGAGTGCCGGTGAGAGAACGGTCGGGGGTGGGTACAGGGCTACCGGAGATGGCAGCTTCGCGGACCTCACGCTCCTGCTGCTCGAGAACCTCGGCGCGTCGCTTGCGGAAGTCGGAGAGGGCGACGAGGCCGACGGTGTTGTTGGAAATGCGCTCCTGGGTGGTCTTGTTCTGCGAGGTGAACCGAGATTCCGACGAGGACATGGCGAAAGGCTCTCTTATCCTAGGCGTTTGTCTCTCTCATCCACGATTAGGCTTGCCCGTGAGCGGAAGGGAATCACGAAATGGGTGGATTAAATTGTGAATACCTAGGTAGGTATGTAATATAACACAGGGCAGGGCAGGATTGGCAAGCAAATGGATGGATGCATGTGGGTGCAGGTGGGTGGATGACGGTTGATGGCGCTCGACCTCAGGTCTAGGTAGGTCCACTAGGTAGGTAACATAGCTTTTAGTGGCTGGGCTTAGTGGCTGGGCTTGTTAGGTAATAAGCTCCGGCGGGTCATCCTAGGCAGTCGGGTCCGGTGTAAGTAGGTAGCCTATCCTAGACCAATTCGACCTATAATACGGTGGCCCATAGCGAACACTGTTGCAAGCTCCAAAACCCACTACACACACACCACACACACACCATACTCTTAACACCTAGGTAAGTACTCTTTCTAACACCTGCACTTACTTTTTTTAATACTTACTCTTTTTAACATTTACTTACTGCATAACATAACTTATTATTACTTGCATTATTATTTGCATTATATTTTATTTGCTTATATATTTAAATAATGCATTAATAAGTTATGTAATAAAGTAAGTGTTAAAAAGAGTAAGTGTTAAAAAAAGTAAGTGTTAGAGGGCGTAAGTGTTAGAGGGAGTAGGTGTTAGAGGGAGTACCTAGGTGTTAGAGGGAGTAGGTGTTAGAGGGAGTACCTAGGTATTAGAGGGTGGCTTTATTAAATGGTGTATATGTAGTGGGGTTTTAATGTGTTTATGTAGTGGGTTTTGGTGTATGTGTGTTAGTTTTTGAGGTTTGCAACAGTGTTCGCTATGGGCCACCGTACTATAAGAACTTTCCCAGTAAAAACATAGCAGACCCCATTTCGACATAATAATTAAACCAAATCGAGACGAGAAGAAAGAAAAATACTATGTACTTACCTAGGTAAGTAGGCAATGTACACAACATTAAGAAAAAGTTCTTCTTATACAGTGGTTATTCAAGACTGAGGTGATATCGTCTAGTGGTTAGGACAGCACGTTGTGGCTAGCTAGGTACACACAACGTATCCGTGCAAACGTCGGTTCGATTCCGGCTATCGCCAGCACTTCTTCTACAACCTCTCAGCATGGTTACTTTACTTTTTGTTTTTCTCCCTCCTATCAAATGGTACAAGCCCCAAGTAGTACCAGATACCCCATATACTACGCATCAATGCACTACCTACCTAATAGCATAATTATAGTTCATACGAACATGCTAACTTTAGGAAATAGAAGTATTTTTTAACTGTCAAGCCTGTTTTAAACCTACTTACCTAATGGTAGGTAAAACGAATAGTTACATTGATATTACGTTTGCCTCAAAACCATACAAATAATCCAGGAAGAGACTTAGAAACTTTTAACAAAAGCCTATTTATTAGATGAAGAAAAGAGAAGAAGTGTATATCAACTACAGCAAAAACTTGTGCAATTATTGAAATTCATGAGTGTGTGTCTTGTGTTGAGACGTGAGACACTATCTAGCCCACACACATTTTTAAATGCATCTCTCTCCCCCCCCCCCCCCCCCCCGTAATCGATTGAAGACAGGTTGTGTTTCCAGGAGCAACACAGTGACGGTTGTGCTGAACATGACTTCATAATGGCGTTATCAGTGCTGTGGCTTTGTTTGAAGCCGTAGCAATGGGATCGACATGGTAATAGAGCTACTCGTGGCTGCTAGCAAGATCGTAAGGGGTGATTGCTGGGTTGACCTCCAGGGCTCGTTGAAACTGCAGACGGTGAAGATGTCGTGTTTGAGACATCGGAATCCTCCATGTGGTACAACAAGGAACCCCAGCCCAGTCCATCGTAATGCCCAGAGCCTTCGCCCCAGGAACCTGCTCCTCCCTCGAAGCCTCCAAAGCTCTCTAGAGTTTTGTTAAGGTACGCAGTGGTCCATGGTGCCTCGAGGCCCTTCGTTTGGACATAGTGGGCGTACAGAAGCTCCCATGTTGGCCGGATAGCGCCACGAGAGGATGGACTAATACTGCTATAAGACACGATGCCGTTGGTGTAATTTTCAAACGGCACATCATAGCCTAGGTTATATCGAGCGAAGTACTCAGCACTGTAAAGCAAGAGGTCAGACTATCATTCGAGTATGTCTGCATAATAAGTGATGCAAATCAACAAACGATGTTTATACGCAACTCACCCGAGAAGGATTCGACTATCATTATAGCCGAAGAGATCTTCACCCTGGTTCCATGCCTGCTGACCGATGGCTCCGAGCAACTGGTGATCCATGGCGGAGTGACCTTGGTCTCTACCAGACTCCTGGCCCTGACCGAGCGGGTTGCCGGTTCCAGGTTCTTGTACGATATTTGTGATTGCATTGTTAATAGCGCCGTTACCAGTTCCAGTCTTGAAGTAGTCTACCGCGAAATCCCATAAAGTGCTGTTATCGGAAACTACTGCAATGGCCATAACCGACGCGACATTGCACAATTCCCAGTTGGCAAAAAAATGCTTCGGGTTATGCTCTGATCCTAAGACGTGGTTGAGGAAATCCAGGTTCATCGGAAGAAAGATGGAAGTCATCATAGAGATGACAGCAGACAAGCCATTCTCGGTAAAGGGAGAGTAGTCTCGTAGCAGTTCGACAGCATTGGCAAGCTCGTAGCCTTGGAGACCGGCAGTAAGATAGTCGTCGTCATTGCTGCCGGAGAGGGCTTCCAATGTGCCTGCCCAGGACACTAGGATCTCTGCAGCTGTTTCCGCATATGTGTCGTTTCCAGAAATTCTCCAACAGAGCGCGAGGTCGAAGACAGCAGCCACATCATGCCACAGAGCCTCTCCGTTCTCATTACGGCTTACCGTACTCACAGCATTACTAGAGTAGGATGTGCTGGAGTACGGAATGCTAGTGAGTTTATTCCAAGAGCTCAACCAAGGATCTATCTTAGCGTCGATTTTGGCTTTGGCACGCGTGATATCTTGATTATTCACGAGTAAGCCAGGATGGGTAAAGGCGAGAGCAACAGACGATATAAAAGAGAAAGGCAGGATCCGGGTTGGTAGCATGATTAAACAAGTAAAACTACATACATAGCAATACGGGAGGTGTGGCTGAACTTGGTTGAATAGATGTGGACTGAGAGCGACGGGTTACCAAGAAACGACCAGATGCTAGAGCTCCATCAATGGAAGACAACGATAGAGTACACGCGGTCTTGATTCAACTTAGCCCAGCAGTATTTAAGAGCCTAGGAACTTTATAGTAACTAAGAAGGCCTTAGCCTTCATGTTATGTCAAAACTCGGAGTTCTAGCTTGAGTAAAAGCGACTTGACATACCTACAGGGTACCTAGGTATCCAATCCTTAATTTCGCGCTATTCATTCAGATCGTATGCATCAGGGGGTAACCGGATACCTCCATATACCATAGGTAGTCCGATCTAAGACAGGAACCATGAATGGACGCATCAACGCTACGGCAAATTAATTACCTATAAAACACATAGTTGCGCCAACCACGCATTCTCAAGAAGATAAGCTCAGCTGTTCCCTGGCTATAATAAGGCGGATACATAGGGGAGTGGGTCGACGGAGATGCGAAGCACGATTGTCAGGAGCACACCCCGTTATGTAGGTAAAGATTAACAAAATGAAATAGCATTTTCAAATTACAGCTTGCTTAGAGGGCAGAACTTACAAGTTGTCGATGCCATGTATGCGCGATCAGATAATTTCACAGACACACACATACACCTACCTATGTATAGGTTGGTCCTACAGGTTGAGGGAAGCTATTTATGTTGGCCACCGCGGTATCTCAGCGTGTCGCTCCCTTTTCAGTGGCAACCCACGTCGATAAGAATGGTTACCACGTATTCTAACCGCCCCCCCTCCCCAAATATCCGAGTCCTTAATTAGGTTCTCTAGATTAGAGCCGTTTTGCATATAGAGATTTGGGCACACAGGTGAGCTCCATCCGCGATCTAGGTTAGGTTGTTGATTGGTGGATTTATCTCACAGTTATACCCGATTAGGTCCATCATTGTCAAGAATTCCCTGCAGGCGATTGACAATCTGATTCACACACCCCTTATTAGGTAGGTACCTACGTAGGGAAGAAATACCTTTTAACAAAACTAAAAATAAGCCAAGTCACAGAAGTCTTGGAAGTCGAGATAGTCTCGTGAGCACAGCTACCTACCCGCTCCACCGCGGGGCCTACCGAGGTATAACGGTAGTCATTTTATATAGTACATAAGTTCCCACAGATGTATAAATATATTGATATAGAATGTACCAACTTACATAAAAAATTTTTAATAAAATAACTAAATAACATCTCAACTTGGGAAGGGGGAGGGAGAGGGTGGTAGGTGGGTCTGGTGCATTTGGGAGAGTTAAGTCGTTAGATTGTACATCAGTTGGTAACTCATTCATAGTGGACAACCTACATATGTAATGCCTAACCAGGTTAACCTAAGTAAGCATATAAGTATTTAATGAGGGTAAAGTATCAAAACTTTTTTAATGTATTTCCAATAAAATTAAAATATATACTGATGTGGGGTTAGAGACGACACCTAACCAACCAACCAACCAACCAACCAACTAAATGAATGAGTGGGCTAGACAACCAGAGTCTGCGATCTGAATTGAACCGTGTAGCTAAGGGATAACTGGAAGACTAAGTTCTCATCATTGATGTCGACGAAATGTCAGCGAGAAATGACTATATACAAGTTAGTTGCCTTAGGTATCCAAGCAACCAGATAGCCAACCTGTCCTTAGTTCCCTTGGTTACCATAACAATACACAACTGGAGGGGTTTTCTTAAGTTAATTAAAGCTGTGATGTAGAATCTTAATGGGTTTACAGCTGCTTATATAGGTGCCTGTTACAGTAATCAGTGGTTAAACCCCTAGTTTAAGGGGAGAAAATGAGAACTGACATATACTGTTTTGAGTATCTAGGTAGGTTGAAATCAGGAGAGTATATATTTTAGTTGACTTGTTTTGTGATGTATTTCTTGTTAATAAGCCTCGTGGACTGCACATAATCTCCTCACTAATGCCTTAAACATATATTTGACATCCCAGACGATTATGCTACAAGACAGTATTGATACATGGCGGCGGGTCGGGGGGGGATTCCCGCATTGGCCTACAACTTGGTTGGCGCTGGTGTTATGCGCAAACATAGGGAGATTGGTAGCTCAGTGCCGGAGCTTGAATTGACCGTGAAGAATCTTAAGATGGACTATATTGTCATTGGTAGTTGGTTGCAGAAGGCAATAGCTGAAGCTGAGCAACTCTTGGTTTCGGAGTAAGTTAACATTGTGGCGGATAGCTGCAAGACGAATGGCGGTAGGTTGAAAATGATCCAGGATGAGAGTACCTGAAATCTATCTCAGGATGCCGCTATGGTCTATTACTGCGATAACGGGATGGCTGAGGGCGTGGCACGTTCGCTGGGTTTCCCAAGTCTCATGAGCCAGTGCTCAATGGACCGATTGCCGTGGCCGTCATGAAATCCAACCTTCTTGAAAGAATGATACCGATCAAAACTTTCTCTCTATCTTCTTCGGCGCCCAAAAGAACCTCGGAATAACTAGTATCATCGTTGTGATTATCAACAAAAACTTCCTATCGCCTATAAGACCTCAGCCCCCTGTGACTCTAATTAGAAGGCTAGGTCTGCCTATTTCACCTCGCATATTCGAGCATAAGACTATGACAATGTCGCGAATGAGGGTATCCCCATGGAGCATCTACATACATCAGGGTAGATCACGTGGTCTTGGAAGCGAGGTAGGGGGAGCTCAAAGCTCGTTTCGTATATATAAGGAGACTCCTCTCCCCATCCCATAGGGATCACCTACACTTTCAGTACATGATCTCTTATGTTTTCCCAAGCCATCACCGCGTATAAAGAGATATGTAAACAACAATGGCTTCTACGATACTCTCAGCATCTTTGAGCAAGTAAATCCATTTCCGGGTAAGATTTAAATTAATCAAGCTTTCTTCAGATTGTGTATTGCAGCTCAAGTTCCATAAGGGGTACTGCTACAGCATCCTAAAGTGCAAGGACAGCAAATTA